GTAGTGAAATCCTCTTGTGCGTGCGCTGTTGTTTTATGTTGTGATTTTTGTTTTTGTTTTAACGGATTTACCGTCAATTCCTGTATTATAAATAACGCTACAGTTTATTGTTTGCAATACTGTTGTTGTTATTACTGCCACGCTGCTACCGCCACTTCAACATAATAATATGTTGGTTTTTTTTAAAAATCATAACCATCGTGAAATTATTATTTATTGTCCTCGTCATCGTCGCATTATTAGTTGTAACAGCAGCAACAGCAGCAGTAGAGGAGCAGACGTTGTAGCATCAGCACTGGTAATAGTACTACTAGTAGTAGTAGCAGCAGCAGCAGCAGTAGTAGTAAAAGTTGTTGATGTAGTAGTAGTTGTAGTAATAGTAAAGTAAAGTACAGAACCATTTTCCACGCCTTTTGGCGTATAGGGCAAATAGGGCTAGACCTATATTTTTATAGACCAATCGGCACATGAAGGGAGATGTGGTCAGTATCACACAGGCCGCTTTTACTTCCCGGGTCTTCGCGTGGTATCCCCTTAAGGCTGGGTCGACCTGGGAGCCAAGGTGATTTTTGAAAAAAGTCCGCCTCCACCAGGAAGCAAACCCACGACTTTCCGATCCGCATGCGAGTGTCTAGCCGCTCCGCCACGATGACTCCCTGTAGTAATAGTAGAAGTAGTAAATGTATAAGTATTAATAATTGTAGTAGTATAAGTAGTAGTATAAGTACTATTACTATCAACGGTGGTGGTAGTTGTAGTTGGTGGATGTGAACTTCATTGATAGCAAGGGATACGACGACATATAAAAGCTGGGCCTATGCTCCACTGGCGTGATGCTGACCACGTCACCCATCTTGTGCCGATTGGTCTATACAAATATAGGTCTAGCCCAATATGCCCTATACGCCTAAAGGCGTGGAAGAGGGTCCTTTACTTTTTGTTTTTACTATGCTCCACTGGAAGATAAAGGGTAGGAGTTCGCCATTGGTCTCCATAGGGTCAGCTCCCTATAACATGGTCGAGATCAATGCAAACGGTCTGCTGCCAGATTGTAAAAATACTATGTGGAAATATATAACTAATAGAAAATGAGGAAAATACCCATCGACGACCGGGTCGCCCATTGGCTCGCCGCTAGATAGACGACTTTGCCGCCCGCTGGGACAGTGTTTGGGTCTGTCTCCTCTGATCGCATAAACACTGTGCATGGCGTGCATTGCTAAGCCATTTTGTATGGCAGGGATGCTAGTTAATTAAACATGATTATTATCCCCCCCCCCCCCTCCCCCAGCAAAGTACCTATCTACTAGGAAATTACTACTCGTTTCAATCCAGTAGGGACGCCTCCAGTAGGACTTTTCTAATAGCGCAGTACCCAAGTTTTATGAACCGTTGCGAAAAATGACGTAGTTTTTGGAGAATTGATGGATAGACGTATAAATAAGTGGATTACTGGCTCACATGACAGTTTCATGGATAGGACTGGGTGGATAGATTGATGTTTGGATGGATGAATACATGGATGCATGCATTAATGGATAGATGTGTGGTTCGATAGAAAGATTAGTTGATGAATGAGTGGATAGGTGGATGAATAGAGGATAGTTTTTTAGATTGACTGATGGATGTATTAATGTATGGATAGATGGTTGGATGAGTGGACGGAATGATTATTGAGCTAATGAGTGATCGAATTGATGAACCCAAGCACAGTTTATTGGATAGATACATAGGTGGATGGATGGATGGATGATTAATAAATGTACACATGTAGGCCTGAATAGGTGGATTGTTGGGATGCATGCATGTGGGAATAAACGGATAGATACATAGATACAATACAGAGATAGACAGATCGGCAGAAAGAAAGAGGGATAGACATATGGAGAAAGAGTAAAAGAAAGACTTATGGACAGTCCATGGTAAACATTGCGTCCATGGTCCATACCCGAATAGATACTGATGGACAGTCCATGGTAAACATTGCATCCACGGTTCATACCCGAATAGAGACTGACTGACAGTCCATGGTAAACACTGCGTCCATGGTCCCTTCCCGAATGGGACCACAGCTTACTCCTGGCTGGTGCAGCAGTTATCAATGCCGTAATGATAACTTATTTGGAGGTGGAACGGGGTTATCTGAGGTCTGCCTTGTTGTGGGTATGGTTGAGATTCTCTAACCTCAGGCTGGTATGGTAAACAGGTAGGAATTAGCCTAGAAAGGACTAACTGATCGATCGATCCATTCTTCTTGTTAGCATTCCCTGAGTGTAAACTCCAGTGGAAATTTGTTGTTGTTCATCCATTTCTGGACTTTGTCTTGCTCTAAAACTGGTGTTTTGCGGGCTCATTCGTTTTAAAGATCTGGCATATTTGTATGCAGGATGTTGGTTCCTCACCTTTAAGTAGATGCACATTGACTTGAAAGGAAACTCTCCTAATTAAAGGTTAAAGGCAAAAGTCGAGAGGATAGACTTAATCGCACTGAGTTTTATCCCATATGGCTCGGTCTCTCTCCACAGAACGGTTAGCCGCCAGCCGAGAGCGCCGCCCTAATTAGTCGCCTTGTACGACATGCTTTTTAGGGAAACAGTGAGGCTATCTCTTCCCCCCCCCCCCCCGCTCTTTAAAGAATTGGGCCCTGGAACCCACACGGGGAGATCGATCCATTCATTCTAGGTCAGAATTTTTATCAGCAGTACTGGCGAACTTTCTCCACCAGATATAGTAATCGATCAGTAAATTAACGTTTCCCACAGCCAGCGTAACTAAACACAGATCGCTCACAACGATACTTTACCTAGAAATTACCAAACGTAAACGCTGTTACTTAAGGAACAGGTTTACATTTTATTTTTAAGACTTGGTATGAGACAGACAGCCACAGACAAGACAGACAGACAGACAAACAGACAGACAAACAGACAGACAGACAGACAGACAGAGACAGACAGACAGACAGACAGACAGACAGACAGACAGACAGACAGACAGACAGACAGACAGACAGACAGACAGACAGACAGACAGACAGACAGACAGACAGACAGACAGACAGACAGACAGACAGACAGACAGACAGACAGACAGAGAGAGAGATTGACTTATATGTTTTCTGTGACTCACGCCAGATTGCATGTGCGCTGTAACCAACAGTAACGTCACATCGTTTACTCACTTCTAGACCTAACAGATCATGCGCGGTGTGTCGGCAGGAGACACACCCGAATCTAATCGCTCTAATAATGCCATCAGCATCATAATCCTTATTATCAGCAGGATTTTTTTTTAAGTATCCAGAAACCAGGAGTTGTTAACCCTTTGGCTCGGTACTATGGACATCGCAACCCTTCGGCCTTGATTCCATCATAGATACCGTAAATCTGGGAGGAAATGTGGCTTTTCTGCTACCCCCGGGCGTGAACCCAGACCACAAGGAGTTCGTTACCCGGTCGCCGCGAAGGCCGGTTTAACCAACTACGCTAGCCAGCCGGGCATATCAGTAGTATTGGTGGTGGGGGTGGCGGTACAGCAGTAGCGATGACGGTTATTATTGTTTTTGTCATTATTATTAGAGAGATGAAAAAGGGAGGAGAAGGAAAGAGAAGACAAAAGCGAGAGAAGTAGTAGAAGAAGAAAACAGAGAAGAAGAAGAAGAAGAAGAAGAAGAAGAAGAAGAAGAAGAAGAAGAAGAAGAAGAAGAAGAAGAAGAGGAGGAGGAGGAGGAGGAGGAAGAAAAAGAAGAAGAAGAAGAGGAAGAATAATCTGGTTGAATATAGCATACATTAAGCCTCCTACGAGTGACGTTCAACCCTACCAGGACCAGGCAACGATCGACAAACACCCGGTGATACAAAGACGAGAATCCCCGGACACAAGTCTCAGAAACTCCATTCAGTCGCTAGGTTATATGAGGGCCTCGACTACAGTGACTGACTGACTTACTTTTTACCCCACCAGGACATCACACAAGCGATAAACACCTAATGACACAATGTGCCACCATGCGGGTGAGGATCACCTTGGAGAGGTCCTAGAAACCGCGTTCAGCCTTAAGGCCATATTTATGGCCAGGCTATATTGCGGCACCTGGCAAAAGCCAGAGTAGGGCTTAAAATAACGAAAAATATCATCCTAATAAGGGCGAGAAGTATAGGTTCTAACTGACTACAGTAGAGGTGAGACCTTGAAATACCCCCCCCCCCCCCCCACACACACACACGAATTGCATCCCTTTTTGGTGCGCAATAGCAGTAATGGCCTCCAATGGGTTTGATGCCATCAAATTGTTGTGTAGAAAACAAAGATTATGACAAAAGTACACACAATTATTCCAGTCTTCCTTTCTTTTCAATTTTAAACTCATGAAATATTTTTTTTTTTTTTTTCAGGTTGCCTAACGTACATCTCGATACAACTACAAAGGACAAGTTGGTGATTGCTTTGAATAAACCCGACAGGCTTCTGCTGTAACGCAACACAACATACTTTCCACGTCCGGCTACCTCTCCGAGAAACATCTTCCACACTTGCATTTCATAATTTATCTACTGACAGTTTAAATTTACGACTTTGATGTTTCATTGGGCTTTAAAAGACTTTCATCCAAGAGGTTAACAGCCCATCAGAATTATAACTTTCGTCATCAGTTTTCTGCGCTACTGGTCTACCTAGCGTTATCAAGACTTGCCAGCTGGGAAACCACTTTGTACCTTGACTATAGACTCTGTGCCAAGATGGCTGTCTGAATTTTGTCAAGTATCTCTGCATGATACAGGATCACTTTTGGCAGTGGGTTATTTTTAAGTTCATTTGTTACGTTTATTAATATACGGTACACCGTTTTACATGGTGTAATTTTGAAATATGGCTGCTATGTAAAGCACCGTTTTTCCTTATCATAAACCGTTATATATGTATGATGGTGTTTTGAAGAAAAACAAAGATAACAACATATGCATTCTCACCATGTTTCTAGTGGCCGACAACCATTAAGAATGTCGAGCGAACGACTAAATAGATTAGAAATTTCTAATCCAGTGCTGCAAAGTGCCACTAGCAGTCGTGTTAACCCAGCGTTTAAAGACGGGACGAACAGTTCATCCACTGGAGATTTGCTGAAGGGAGATCATCCCCAGAGTGGGTCAAATGAGCTGCAAGGTGTTGACAGACTGCAGATGAAGTACGCTTCACCAGATAATCTTCAAGTACCCCAGATGACAACGCAAATCACCATTGCCAATATTGAAGCCCAGAATGGTAAAACCAATGGCAGCTCTTCGGCATTTTCCGATACGTCTTCGGATGTTTCCGACGTCACCGGCCCTCTTCCTAGTAGCTCGACGCCTGGCTCAGCATTTGTAGTGCCTGTCATTGAAGGCGTCACGGAGGAAAATATTAACCAGGTGGATATGTTCTATCGCAGTCACAAGACAGAAGTGAAAGTCTGTCGATCATTAGCAAATCTCTACGTATCTGCCCCAAAATCCAAAGAAAGAACCACAAGCCCCGCAATGCAACAACACAACAAATCTCCTAAAGACAAAAAATCTAAATCGTCTGAGACTCCAGCACCCACTCCGCCTGATCCTTCAGATTTCTCGAAAGACGAATGGGAATTTTCAAAGACGGGAATACCCGTTCTTGTATTAGACACAGGTGATCATATCAGAGAAAGGCGCTTGAGGATCGTTCTTGCGGAGAAAGGAACTGGCTTCACACTTTGGCAGGATCAGTTCAATCACTTTACAGAATACAAAACTCCACACGCCAACTTCCACACGATCACTTTGTCAACAGACTCCACACGACTAATCGGACTCAGCTTCGACGAAGACAAAGCTGCAACGGAATTTGCTGAAGCAGTCCAAGGCTTCACTTCCAACGCAGATGATGACCTATTCAACCTCAGTAAAAAAAAGAAGAAGGAGAAATGCAAAGAGAAATATAAACCGCCCAAAAAGGTGGACATTTCTCAACCTGTTTGTTTCGTGCATGTGACAAAATTACAAAAACCGGATCTGCTCTTCCCTCCACCACCTGGAGGATTCGAACTGACTCGTTCAGGAATGTCCAGAGCTGCTAGTGAAAGTTCTGGAATTTCAGAATGCTCCTCGACACCCTCAGATCATTGATAAGAACTCATTATGTTTACTTATTATTTGTTAGACCAAAACAGGTAAAGGATCAGTTTCATGCCATTGACACCTCATGCCTATGGTACTAAACCTATGTTCTGTGGTGTTGTCAACATCACTATGGCCGCCTTTACTTCCCATAAGCTTGCCTGGGACCTATTGTAAACTGGGCATATCTATACTCGGTGAATATTTTTTTTAAATCGTCTTTATGCGGACTTGAACTCAGGACATTCGTGTCCGTCCTGCAAGGGTGTAGCCACTCTGCTACCACCGCTCCTGTGTTTAACCAAATGTATAACTAAACTGTCACATCGACACAGGGTGATCAAATTACCCGTGAAGATGTTACTGTGGTAAGAAAAGTCTGCACCATAACTTCACAGTAACACATGCAAACTCTTGCCATGGCTCATGACTTGGGGCTCAGACCATCTCAACACCAATGCAAAAGACTTGAGAATTTAAATGCTGTCTTCCAGAGGAGGCCCTTCAGGATTGTTCGGGATTCTACTCCACCGAATGTGTCCATATATTACCGACATGAAGCAGATGATCTGGCGCGTTCCGGCACTGATCATGGGACGGCTATAATTTATGTCATGCGCTCGAGAGGCAAGGACTCAGTAGTCTGCATATAAATAAGTCAGATTTGTAAAACGTATGTAAGCCCAGAGGTGGACGTCGAGTCAGACCTTTCCGCCAAAGTTTACAGCCGGTGAAAGTGAATAATAATAATAGTCCTTCAAACATAGTTTGACCATTGGCCTGCTTTAAAGAAGAAGGATGGATGGAGAGAAAAAAAGGAGAGAATAGAAAAGGTGAGGGGGGATGAGGAGGAGAGGAAAAAGAAAGAAAAATTAGGAGGACGAGGAGACGACACATTGCAATTCTAGTGACAGTTGCTGTTGCTAATACCTCTAGCGACTGCCTTATTCATTTATTGCATGTGCGTAAAATGCTGCTAGATTTCGCTGGGGCTAATTGTTCACTAATTTTCAGATGGGACAGTGTAGGGAACTGTGTGTGATTTTCGCTAGTACAGAGACGGATCGCTTATGCGGTGACCCATTTGCAGTTATGTTGAATTCTCAACTACCGACTCCCGTTTGAAAAGAAACAACAAGAAGAAGTAGTAGCACTCGTTGTAGCAGCAGCAGCAGCAGCAACAATAGCAGCAGCAGCAATAGTAGTAATTTAAATAGCATTACCTGTTTAGCCCATCTGGATTATAATAACCGCAAACTAATATCTCACGTGAAAACATTTTGTTGACGTCTGCTAGTTTATGAAGTTTTCATACTGTATGTTCTCTGATGAAGACGTTACTCAACACGTTGGATCGAATTGATGAACCCAAGCACAGTTTATTGGATAGATAAATAAGTGGATGGATGGATGGATGGATGATTAATAAATGTACACATGTAGGCCTGAATAGTTTATCACAAATCTGCATGTCTCGTTTCTGTTCTCTTTTTTTTTTTTTAATTGTTTCATTTCCCTTTAATTAATCTTGCAAAATGTTCTATGTTGCTCTAGGTTGTTGCGTGTATTTCAGAATGCTCCTCGACACCCTCAGATCATTGATAAGAACTCATTATGTTTACTTATTATTTGTTAGACCAAAACAAGTCAAGGATCAGTTTCATGCCATTGACACCTCATGCCTATGGTACTAAACCTATGTTCTGTGGTGTAGTCAACATCACTATGGCCGCCTTTACTTCCCATAAGCTTGTATGGGACCTATTGTAAACTGGACTACTAGAGGTATTAGCAACAGCAACTGTCACTAGAATTGCAATGTGTCGTCTCCTCGTCCTCCTCACGGCATATATATATATATATATATATATATATATATATATATATATATATATATATATATATATATATATATATATATATATATAAAACAATTTATGGCATTCCCTATCAATGTAAAGTCATATGAAAAATTTAAGTATTACCAGAACATCATTAGAAAGATGATTTTGATTCATAAAGGATAGTTACGCTCATTACATTTACATGAGATAGCTAAGTTCACTACATTCACATGAGACAGCCAAGTTCACTACATTCACATGAGATAGCCAAGTTCACTACATTCACACGAGACAGCCAAGTTCACTACATTCACATGAGACAGCCAAGTTCACTAAATTCACATGAGATAGCCAAGTTCACTACATTCACATGAGATAGCCATGTTCATTACATTCAGATGAGACAGCTACGTTCACTACATTCACACGAGATAGCCAAGTTGACTACATTCACATGAGATAGCCACGTTCACTACGTTCACACGAGATAGCCAAGTTCACTACATTCACATGCGACAGCCACATTCACCACATTTACATGAGACAGCCACGTTCATTACATTCAGATTAGACAGCTACGTTCACTACATCCACATGAGATAACCACGTTCACTAATTTCACATGAGACAGCCAAGTTCACTAAATTCACATGAGACAGCTACGTTCACTACATTCACACGAGATAGCCACGATCACTACATTCATACTAGATAGCCACGATCACTACATTCACACGAGATAGCCACGATCACTACATTCATACTAGATAGCCACGATCACTACATTCACACTAGATAGCCACGTTGACTACATTGACCATTAAACTATTTCTCACCTCGCTAGCTGACAAAACTAGAAGAGGAAAATTATTAGATCTTTAAACATTGATATAAAATGTGTGGAAACATAGTTACCTTGTGGGTTTTGGGGCCCAATTGTAGAGGAAAACAAGAATTTACCTTCTGCCTCCCCAGCAAGCATGTCGTAAGAGTCGACTAATTGGAAGCTTCCTTCGACGTCGAAGTACATCTGAGAGGCAAGGAACCAGCAATCTGCATACACATCGTGGATTTTTATCATGGTATGAGGCGTTGCAGGTCGACAGACAGCCGGTGTAATGCTGACCACATTACCCACCCAGTGCTGATTGATCTATAAACATATACACGATGAGCCTAAGGCGTGAAAAGGGATCTTTACTTTCTTTTTTTTTTTATTTAGAGTCTCTGTATGTCCAGCCATGTGTATGTCAGTCTGTCTGTGAGCATCCGCATGTCTGTCTTGAATGTAACGCTATTCTGCTATCAGTGATCTTTTATTTGTTTCGCTTTTCTCTTAAATCCCGGTTTTGTGGTAGTTACGAAGGTGTGTGACGATTCTGTTACATGCCAATAGTTGCGTGTGCATGCTGTCCTCACAAAAAAGTCTACACACTATGAAAACACGTATGCACCCTGTCACCAAACAAACAAGTATTCACACTGTCAGCAAACAAACACGTATGCACACTGTCACCAAACAAACACGTATGCACACTGTCACCAAACAAACACGTATGCACACTGTCACCAAACAAACACGTATGCACACTGTCACCAAACAAACACGTATTCACACTGTCACCAAACAAACACGTATGCACACTGTCACCAAACAAACACGTATGCACACTGTCACTAAACAAACACGTATTCACACTGTCACCAAACAAACACGTATGCACACTGTCACCAAACAAACACGTATGCACACTGTCACCAAACAAACACGTATTCACACTGTCACCAAACAAACACGTATGCACACTGTCACTAAACAAACACGTATTCACACTGTCACCAAACAAACACGTATTCACACTGTCACCAAACAAACACGTATGTACACTGTCACCAAACAAACACGTATTCACACTGTCACCAAACAAACACGTATGCACACTGTCACCAAACAAACACGTATTCACACTGTCACCAAACAAACATGTATGCACACTGTCACCAAACAAACACGTATGCACACTGTCACCAAACAAACACGTATGCACACTGTCACCAAACAAACACGTATGCACACTGTCACCAAACAAACACGTATGCACACTGTCACCAAACAAACACGTATGCACACTGTCACCAAACAAACACGTATTCACACTGTCACCAAACAAACACGTATTCACACTGTCACCAAACAAACACGTATGCGCACTGTCACCAAACAAACATGTCACAAGTTGGTAACACGTTAAGGCCATTTACACTTTCCAAGCCTTCTGGTGTATTGGGCATATAGGGCTAGACCCAATAAACATGTTCTAAAGGCGCCCGTGTGTCACCGGGGCCCTCAGGGGAAGCAAAGAATAGTGACACTGCACCCTACCAGGCATGTTGTAAGAGGCGACTAAGGGTAGGGTTGGGCTTGAGGTTGGCTACCTCATCCTGTAAAAACCATAGCCACAAAAACCAACCAACCATGGATAAGTCAAAAAGAGAAGCAAGTAAAATCCAGCCAACCAAGATGAGGGGAGGCTCTTCAAAAAGAAGAAGTATGACACGGTGTGGAGAAAACTGTAAGGAGTCCGGATCGTTAAACACATAGAGCTGGAGAATGAAGTTAAAAAGATGGAGAGGACATGGGGAGAGCTTCATGCAATGGCGAAGGATAGAACGACTTGGCGTGAGTTGGTTGAGGGCATATGCTCCATTGGGGTATAGAAAGGCAGAAGGAGAAGAAGAAGAAAGAAAGAAAGAAAGAAAGAAAGAAAGAAAGAAAATTTATTAAGGATTCATGTGCCCACCGTCCTTTTAAGGTTTTCAAATAAATAAACATGTGTTACAATGGGACTGCGAGTGTTAGGGCCTTTCTAAAGTGTGTTTACCTGTTCTAGGGACATCCTGAAATAACTGTTTTACTTTTTCACTCAAAATAAAGTGTGTTAATGTATCTCTTGTTCTTTGTTTTTATGTGTATCCTTCTTGTTGCCATTGTTGTTTTTTACTTTTATCTGCGTTGATTTTGTTGCTGATGTTGCTTTTATACATACATTTTTTATTATTGTTAATAGCCTTGTTGTTTTTATCTTTCTGATTATTGTTATCCATGTAGTTATTGTTCTTCTTGTTTTTACCCTTGAGATGATTGTTGTAAATATACTTATTGTT